ACACGCACGTCTTTTCTCATCATTAGAAAATTGTATGTACATTACATTTCTTAAATTGGTTATTGCAGTTATTAAAAATGATCAAATAAGTTTGACTAGGACTGGTGCGAAACAATAGTTCAAAACTTTATCCAAATGATCAAATTGAACATTATTTAAAATAAATTAAATAAGAATCCGAGATGTACCAGCCTCACGGCAAACTGTGTGATAAAATCAATTAGAATCAATCAGCAAAGTCATTCTGAAACTTGTACTTGTGTTGTGCTTCTCCTCATAATTTTAAAAAATTGTCATTTTACTTTTAACAATTTTATTCAGTATTTACTGTAAAACATTTCTATCCCTCATTGCCTTCTGCCGGCAGGTACAAAAAGTGCAAATAAAACTATTTCTACTATCACCACTGACTTTCTTTAACTTTTAGTTCTTAGTTTCATTCCAACCAGGCACTGACTGACCCACCAGTTGATATGGGTACTCCAACAGTTTCATTCCAACCGGGTACTGACTGACCCACCAGTTGATATGGGTACTCCAACAGTTTCATTCCAACCAGGCACTGACTGACCCACCAGGTGATAAGGGTCCTCCAACAGTTTCATTCCAACCTGGTACTGACTGACCCACCAGGTGATAAGGGTCCTCCAACAGTTTCATTCCAACCAGGTACTGACTGACCCACCAGGTGATAAGGGTCCTCCAACAGTTTCATTCCAACCCGGTACTGACTGACCCACCAGGTGATAAGGGTCCTCCAACAGTTTCATTCCAACCAGGCACTGACTGACCCACCAGGTGATAAGGGTCCTCCAACAGTTTCATTCCAACCAGGCACTGACTGACCCACCAGGTGATAAGGGTCCTCCAACAGTTTCATTCCAACCAGGTACTGACTGACCCACCAGGTGATAAGGGTCCTCCAACAGTTTCATTCCAACCAGGTACTGACTGACCCACCAGGTGATAAGGGTCCTCCAACAGTTTCATTCCAACCAGGCACTGACTGACCCACCAGGTGATAAGGGTCCTCCAACAGTTTCATTCCAACCAGGCACTGACTGACCCACACCCACCAGGTGATAAGGGTCCTCCAACAGTTTCATTCCAACCAGGCACTGACTGACCCACCAGGTGATAAGGGTCCTCCAACAGTTTCATTCCAACCAGGCACTGACTGACCCACCAGGTGATAAGGGTCCTCCAACAGTTTCATTCCAACCAGGCACTGACTGACCCACCAGGTGATAAGGATCCTCCAACAGTTTCATTCCAACCAGGCACTGACTGTCCCACCAGGTGATAAGGGTCCTCCAACAGTTTCATTCCAACCAGGCACTGACTGACCCACCAGATGATAAGGGTCCTCCAACAGTTTCATTCCAACCAGGTACTGACTGATCCACCAGGTGATAAGGGTACTCCAACAGTTTCATTCCAACCAGGTACTGACTGACCCACCAGGTGATAAGGGTCCTCCAACAGTTTCATTCCAACCAGGCACTGACTGACCCACCAGGTGATAAGGGTACTCCAACAGTTTCATTCCAACCAGGCACTGACTGACCCACCAGTTGATATGGGTACTCCAACAGTTTCATTCCAACCGGGTACTGACTGACCCACCAGATGATATGGGTACTCCAACATTTTCATTCCAACCGGGTACTGACTGACCCACCAGATGATATGGGTACTCCAACAGTTTCATTCCAACCAGGTACTGACTGACCCACCAGGTGATAAGGGTCCTCCAACAGTTTCATTCCAACCAGGCACTGACTGACCCACCAGGTGATAAGGGTCCTCCAACAGTTTCATTCCAACCAGGCACTGACTGACCCACCAGGTGATAAGGGTCCTCCAACAGTTTCATTCCAACCAGGCACTGACTGACCCACCAGGTGATAAGGGTCCTCCAACAGTTTCATTCCAACCAGGCACTGACTGACCCACCAGGTGATAAGGGTCCTCCAACAGTTTCATTCCAACCAGGCACTGACTGACCCACCAGGTGATAAGGGTCCTCCAACAGTTTCATTCCAACCAGGCACTGACTGACCCACCAGGTGATAAGGGTCCTCCAACAGTTTCATTCCAACCAGGCACTGACTGACCCACCAGGTGATAAGGGTCCTCCAACAGTTTCATTCCAACCAGGCACTGACTGACCCACCAGGTGATAAGGGTCCTCCAACAGTTTCATTCCAACCAGGCACTGACTGACCCACCAGGTGATAAGGGTCCTCCAACAGTTTCATTCCAACCAGGCACTGACTGACCCACCAGGTGATAAGGGTCCTCCAACAGTTTCATTCCAACCAGGCACTGACTGACCCACCAGGTGATAAGGGTCCTCCAACAGTTTCATTCCAACCAGGCACTGACTGACCCACCAGGTGATAAGGGTCCTCCAACAGTTTCATTCCAACCAGGCACTGACTGACCCACCAGGTGATAAGGGTCCTCCAACAGTTTCATTCCAACCGGGTACTGACTGACCCACCAGATGATATGGGTACTCCAACATTTTCATTCCAACCGGGTACTGACTGACCCACCAGATGATATGGGTACTCCAACAGTTTCATTCCAACCAGGTACTGACTGACCCACCAGGTGATAAGGGTCCTCCAACAGTTTCATTCCAACCAGGCACTGACTGACCCACCAGATGATATGGGTCCTCCAACAGTTTCATTCCAACCAGGCACTGACTGACCCACCAGATGATATGGGTCCTCCAACAGTTTCATTCCAACCGGGTACTGACTGACCCACCAGATGATATGGGTACTCCAACATTTTCATTCCAACCGGGTACTGACTGACCCACCAGATGATATGGGTACTCCAACAATATCCTCCTTTTATTACTTACTTTTAATAAACGTTTCTATTAGTTGTGCCAAACATAATTTTGACCAAGTCTAAAAGAAATTAAAAAAAAAAAAACTGAAACATTTCAGAAATAAATTTTTATTGCAGGTGTTTTTGATCTCAATTTTCACTGAAAACATTTCAGATCATGCAATGTCTTAAACATTTCCCTTTTCATTCTACCAGTCAATGACAACTCTCTTCAGATCATGCAATGTCTTAAACATTTCCCTTTTCATTCTACCAGTCAATGACATGTCTCTTCAGATCATGCAATGTCTTAAACATTTCCCTTTTCATTCTACCAGTCAATGACAACTCTCTTCAGAACATGCAATGTCTTAAACATTTCCCTCTTCATTCTACCAGTCAATGACATGTCTCTTCAGATCATGCAATGTCTTAAACATTTCCCTTTTCATTCTACCAGTCAATGACATGTCTCTTCAGATCATGCAATGTCTTAAACATTTCCCTTTTCATTCTACCAGTCAATGACAACTCTCTTCAGATCATGCAATGTCTTAAACATTTCCCTTTTCATTCTACCAGTCAATGACATGTCTCTTCAGATCATGCAATGTCTTAAACATTTCCCTTTTCATTCTACCAGTCAATGACAACTCTCTTCAGATCATGCAATGTCTTAAACATTTTCCTTTTCATTCTCCCAGTCAATGACAACTCTATTCTTTTCATTCTCCCTGTCAATGACAACTCTAACAAGAGTTCCTTTTCATAATTTCCCTCCCCTCCTCATTCCCCTTGCATTTACCCATTAAATGATTCTTTTAGTCTCATTACCCATTAAATGATTCTTTTAGCCTCATTACCCATTAAATGATTCTTTTAGCCTCATTACCCATTAAATGATTCTTTTAGCTTCATTACCCGTTAAATGATTCTTTTAGCTTCATTACCCATTAAATGATTCTTCTAGTCTCATTACCCATTACATGATTCTTTTAGCCTCATTAGCCATTAAATGATTCTTTTAGTCTCATTACCCATTAAATGTTTCTTTTAGTCTCATTAGCCATTAAATGATTCTTTTAGTCTCATTACCCATTAAATGATTCTTTTAGTCTCATTACCCATTAAATGATTCTTTTAGCCTCATTACCCATTAAATGATTATTTTAGTCTCATTACCCATTAAATAATTCTTTTAGCCTTATTACCCATTAAATGATTCTTTTAGCCTCATTACCCATTAAATGATTCTTTTAGCCTCATTACCCATTAAATGATTCTTCTAGTCTCATTACCCATTAAATTAATATTTTAGTTTCATTACAATTTTTATTTTCAGGTTTTGAAGATTAAATGGCAGAAATGTTTTCCCTTAGGAGTGACAGTCACTACGCACAATGTACTGGTTCATGCACTACGCACAATGTACTGGTTCATGCACTATGCACAATGTACTGGTTCATGCATTATGCACAATGTACTGGTTCATGCACTACGCACTGGTTCATGCACTATGCTCAATGTACTGGTTCATGCACTATGCACAATGTACTGGTTCATGCACTATGCACAATTTACTGGTTCAGTCACTATGCACAATGTACTGGTTCATGCACTACGCACAATGTACTGGATCATGCACTATGCACAATGTACCGGTTCATGCACTACGCACAATGAACTGGTTCAGACACTGTGCACAATGAACTGGTTCAGTCACTACTCACATTCAACTGATGCATGCACTATGCACAATGAACTGGTTCAGACACTGTGCACAATGAACTGGTTAATGCACTACGCACAATAACTGGTTCAGTCACTATGCACAATGAACTGGTTCAGTCACTGTGCACAATGAACTGGTTCAGTCACTACTCACATTCAACTGGTTCATGCACAATGCACAATGAACTGGTTAATGCACTACGCCCAATAACTGGTTCAGTCACTATGCACAATGAACTGGTTTAGTCACTGTGCACAATGAACTGGTTTAGTCACTATGCACAATGAACTGGGGTGCTCTGTAAAAATGTGTTCGTGCTGTCTATAACTTAAACACCCTCAAGCACAGTGTTATTGGTCAGCTGCCCAACTAGGGCTCACCCATGACAACTGTTGGTCTCTGGGACCCGGAGCCCCCACCAAGTCACTCTCAGTCGATGATCGGTGGCGTTGTTACCGACATATTTTTTGTTGTTAGCAAACTGGCAGGCGTCAGGGAAAGATTCGCTCCACCTCGTGAACCCAGCCACATTAATCCTCTCGACGCCGCCCACGGAGGCAAGAATCCCCGTGATGAAGGCGTCCTCCACGGAAATGTAAGGGAAGTGGGGCGCCAGGGAGAGAACTTTCTCAACAGCATCTTTTGACATGACATAGGCGTTTCCGGCAGTGTAAATGGGGTACTTGTCAATCGGCAAAGTTCGGTTGTCGACCGCCCACTTCCCCTCCCTCACCACCCATGAGTTGGGGTAGATTTGGCCGTAGATGGAGTTCGGCTGGCCGTAATGCTTCAAAAGTGTCACCAGCAGTGGAACGTTCACAAAGACATCCGGGTCAGCTTTCAGGACGAATTTCGTCTCGCGACACGACCTTGTCAGCCAATCAAAAGCTAATATCAATTTACGGGTTAGATTCCTGTACGAGTCTATGACGTCAAACTGAATGATGTCATCAAATGACATCATTTCCTGTACCGTTTCGCCGTGATTGTACTGGTCATTTATTTGTGTTTTATCAACTAACATTTCACTGCCTTCCCATGAAGCATCAGTCTCGTTGCCGCCATAAGTAGTTGGCCTACTTTTCTTTTCAAAAGATCCGCTCGTAGGTTCGCCCGCCATCTTTAGATCGGTCGCCGTATCATTTTCAAACTGAGTCCCGTTTCCAGCAGACGTTCCTAGAACAAAGTAAAGCTTGACGTTGTAGGTTCTGGTAAGTGGGGGCCACGGCTTGCCCCGGGCTACCGACCCCCATGTTTCTCTGACCGCTGCCCTCTCACGTGCGGCACGAGGGTGGGTTGGCACCAAGATTGTGAGAAGTGTGGGACTCCCACAGGAAACGGGTTGATGTAGGACCCTGTTGTTATAGACTTCAAAGTTGTATTTGCTGGGCATGAAGTAGAGGTCCTCCAGAAGAACGGGCGACGGACTCATCGCTTTCATGGACAGCTTATCGACAGCACGCAAGAGCTCCTCCTCCACGGACACACGAGCTCCGTGGTTGTAACGGCTCATCAGAGTTTCTATCTTCGAAAATGATGTTCTACTTTGATGTTTGGGATCGAAGATGTCAAGACCTCGGCTTGGAAGACTGGCCCAGTAGGTTCCACAGATGCATAGTAGTGTGAGAAAAACACAAATGGATATTATCACTCTCCTGAAAAGGAAAACATAAAGGGACTTTTAAAGAAAGTAGAATGTTTCCAATAGTTGTGATTATACTTGTAATCGAAAGTATAAATGTACTTTAGTTTGACTAAATACACATGTATTAATAAAGAATAAAGCGAGGTAAATAAAAAAAACATACTGTGCTATTTACGATATTCGCGACACTATATGAAAACCAAACCCATGCGTGGGGCTGGTTGTCAAACGCCCGTGGGTGGGGCTGGTTGTCAAACGCCCGTGGGTGCGGCTGGCTGTCAACGCCCGTGGGTGGGGCTGGCTGTCAAACGCCCGTGGGTGGGGCTGGCTGTCAAATGCCCGTGGGAGGGGCTGGCTGTCAAACGCCCGGGGGTGGGGCTGGTTGACACGCACTGGAGGCCTTTGGGAGAGACCATAAATTAAGTCATTGACCATTGCTGGGGGGGGGGGGGTGTGGTCAAAATATATTGACTTCAAAAATAAAAATCATAAATAGATCATAAGTTGCAAAATATTTGTTAATTTTAATGGAACAATTAATTTCAAATTGCCAAGACAGCGCCGATAATACGTACCATCTGGTCTACAACCATGAAAAAAAAATGCTGCATATGTGAGTCTGCACAAAGAGAGAAAGTTGGGATGGCAAATATTGCTGAAAGATGAGGTGCAACTATTGGTGAAAGATGTAATGGCAGATATTGCTGAAAGATGAGATGCAAATATTGGTGAAAGATGAGATGGCAAATATTGCTGAAAGATGAGATGCAAATATTGGTGAAAGATGTAATGGCAAATATTGCTGAAAGATGAGATGCAAATATTGGTGAAAGATGTAATGGCAGATATTGCTGAAAGATGAGATGCAAATATTGGTGAAAGATTTAATGGCAAATATTGCTGAAAGGTGAGATGCAAATATTGGTGAAAGATGTAATGGCAGATATTGCTGAAAGATGAGATGCAAATATTGGTGAAAGATGAGATGGCAAATATTGCTGAAAGATGAGATGCAAATATTGGTGAAAGTTGGGATGGCAAATATTGCTGAAAGATGAGGTGCAACTATTGGTGAAAGATGTAATGGCAGATATTGCTGAAAGATGAGATGCAAATATTGGTGAAAGATGTAATGGCAAATATTGCTGAAAGATGAGATGCAAATATTGCTGAAAGATGTAATGGCAAATATTGCTGAAAGATGAGATGCAAATATTGCTGAAAGATGAGATGCAAATATTGCTGAAAGAATGTAAACAATTTTGGACATAATGTATTTGGGGGACCTTTAAAGTTTGAGGGATGCTGTGAAAAAAAAAGGGGGGGGGAGGGGGGGTGGATTGCCTGAAAGTTTTTGACCTATTTGATGGACGGCCCTTCCTTCTTATGGCCCAAATATTGCTGAAAGAATGTAAACAATTTTGGACATAATGTATTTGGGGGACCTTTAAAGTTTGAGGGATGCTGTGAAAAAAAAAGGGGGGGGGGAGGGGGGGTGGATTGCCTGAAAGTTTTTGACCTATTTGATGGACGGCCCTTCCTTCTTATGGCCCTAGTACGTGTTTTAAATCTAATTAGCTTAAGATTCTGTTAGTGGGGACCTGTTTCTATCTTATAATGCTTGACTTAAGATTCTGTTAGTGGGGACCTGTTTCTATCGTATAATGCTTGACTTAAGATTCTGTTGGTGGGGACCTGTTTCTATCGTATAATAATTGACTTAGAAAAACAAAAATCAAATTCCCGGTACTAATTTGTCTCAAAAAATGTATTGTTTGCAACTGACATACGGGTCTCTCCCTGCCCCCCGCCCCCCCCCCCCAACGCCACAAGATTGTTGTAAACGACCAGCATGTTTTTAACCAGATGAACAAAATACAGTGCACAAGGGAATAACCAATGTCATACAGTGCACAAGGGAATAACCAATGTCATAGAGTGCACAAGAAAATAACCAATGTCATACAGTGCACAAGAAAATAACCAATGTCATACAGTGCACAATAAAATAACCAATGTCATACAGTGCACAAGAAAATAACCAATGTCATACAGTGCACAAGGAAATAACCAATGTCATACAGTGCACAAGAAAATAACCAATGACATACATTGCACAAGGGAATAACCAATGTCATACAGTGCACAAGGGAATAACCAATGTCATACAGTGCACAAGGAAATAACCAATGTCATACAGTGCACAAGGAAATAACCAATGTCATACAGTGCACAAGGAAATAACCAATGTCATAGAGTGCGCTAAAAAAGAACTCATGTCGCATAGTGTTCAAATGAAAAACCAGTGTCATGCACTGCACAAGTCACAAACTAATGTCACACAGTGGTCACATAAAGAACCAATGTCCTAGAGCCCCATTATAGTATAAATCTCTATATCATAAATAGAACATAGAGCTTACCTGGTCAATTTATTTGAAATGTAAGGCCAGTATATTTGGACATAGTTGGCCATCTTGAGATCAAATTGACGACTAGCTCTCAGCCATTAAGAAATATTGGTGAATTCAAAATTCAACATATCCTCATTTATTCATTTAGTGATATATTGGTTTGCTTTGAAATTCAGAAACTCGCTTTAAAAAACAACTATTCTGTCCCTTCAGAACATGCACAACACAAAGACTCGTTGCCTGTTCACGATGAGCAAACCCAGCGGCACGTTTTAAGCCCAGGTCTCTGGGAATGAGGTCATGACAAGAATATTTATGTTCTCACCAGGTGTGAGCAGCACTCTGACACGGCGTAAATCAGGCACGGGGCAGTCCGGCACTTTAACAGCTCACCCCAGACGCGTAGCCAGGTGGAGGGCAGAGAGGGGGGGGGCCGATGTCCCCTGACGCAAGGATAGTTTTTTTTCGCAACTGTACATGATCAAATAAATAGATTACGTCATCAAAATTTGAATAGATTACGTCATCAAAATTTTAATTAATTTATATCATCAAAATTTGATGTCTCATTCAATGGCGACCAATGTCGACTATTTGACGTCTGACCAGGTAACTAGTAGGGCTATGCATTTAGACACCCCCCCCCCCCCCAACAAATCACACACTCGTACACTTTTTAAAAAAGAAAAGTATTTTAAGAAACGATATAGTAGTTGTATTTTAGGTTGAACCATTTTTTAATTCGAACTGTTAAACCAGTGGTTCTTAACATTTTTGGAAGTACCGAACCCCACCAGTTTCATATGCGCATTCAACGAACCTTTCTTAATAGGAAAAATAAAAGATGATTTTTTTTTTCTGATTTTTTTGGGGCCTCCGCCGAACCCCTGAGACTGACTCACCGAACCCCAGGGCTTCGATCGAACCCAGGTTAAGAACCATTGTGTTAGACACATCAAATACACTAGAAAGTCGATTATCTAAACATTTACGTTAATGCACTTGATCCTCATAATATATCGTGATGTGATCAGTGATATTATGAGGATCAGGTTTAAGGGCGTAAATGTTTGATTAGAAAGAACATTTTGTTTGGTCTGTCGACATGTAACTTACAGGTAAGAGATGTTAGCATTTTCCTGCCACGAACAAAACTCTGCAGTTGGCCGAAAACGCCCCCCTCACCAACGCCCCCCC